ACCAATGTAGAATGTTTGGTTGCTACTCCAGAGAGTATAGTTGATGCCTGGATTCCAACCTTTGTTCGCTCCGACGATGTGGTCAGTGGCAGAGACGGTGGTGGCAACGGCGGCGAGGAGGAAGAAGAGTACACAGAGAGCCATGTAATTGGGATGGATGCTAATTATAAGCTGAGAGGAAACAAGGCTAATTAGCAGCTCCTACTTTTTAAATTCACTACTTAAACCTTAAAATAAGATTACTCAACCAAACTTTATATATATAACGGATCCAAAGCTAAAGTAAAATCGACCATCATTAGATTAGATAGTAACTATACTGTAATATTTTATAATAGGAATTATCCCGCATACACCTCGTATATTGTACATTTTCCTCATCTTTTTAACCACAAAGTAATGGATCATACTATTGTTAAATTCAAATTTTTGCTGTTACACACTGGAAACCGCCCAGTCTGTTTGAAAGACGCAGAATTAAAAGAACTCGTTTTAAAAAATAGTGGATGAGTATACCGTTGCACGCATTTTTTAAAAAAGAAAAAATTGCACCTCTGTTTGCACCCTCTAGAGGCTGCTATATCTGTATTAAAAAAAATTAAGAAGAAACGTAAAACAAGTCTAAACAGAGGGAAAAGTTTTACATTTGTGATGATTGAACTCAGTACTCTTTTGTAATATAATAGTTCGTGTGACTAATTATAAATATATACATTCTGTAAATTAGTTCTTGAACTATGTATTATATACTAGTACAGATAGCAAATTAGCAATAGATGTACGTACTTGCATCCACTTCTGGAGCTCTACTTCCGCTCTGATCTTAAAGCAAAATGATTAAAAATTACTACTCACTTTATTTCAATCCATGTGTGATGTGACATAGTTTAAGAAGAAGAAAAACAAACACTTTCCAAGTTTACAGTCTTAAATACTTGAATAATAAAAGTTTTATGGGATCATAACATTTGTATGATTATAAATACTTTTTATTAAGAATAAAAATAGTACAATAAAAATTTATATTTAAATTATTTTCAAATATAAAATATATCATCCTTTCTTTAATCAACGAAGCATTTTAATAATGCAATTGAGGGAGCAACAAAATAAGATGTGAGAATGAGTATGTAGCAGCACGCCTTGTGTGGAAAGGCACGCCTCAATCACGTTGCCTGTTAAAGGAATGGCTGCTGCTACAACTACTACTCAACTTACCATTTTTATTTTCAACGATGGCATTGAAAAAGTAATGATTCCTTTCTTTTTGATATTATTGTCTCTTCTGTTGAGCCGAAGGTCTTCCGGAAACAGCCTCTTTACCCTTTTGGTGTAGGAGTAAAATTTGCGTACGCTCTATCCTCCCCAGACCTCACTAATAGAATTTAATTACTGGAATGTTGTTGTTGTTGCATTGAAAAAGTAGACCAAATTAATGGCTACCACTAGGCACGTCTTCTTAATCCCTTGTTTCCGCAATCTGCGATCTTGTTGTACGAGAATTTTGTCGACCATAATGATGTCTGCTTCTACAGTAACTCTGTACAAATGCATATTGGTTCACAAATGCAGCAAAGAATTCAGTAATGACTTCCAGACCAAATATTAGTCGTTTTGGTAAACTTTCAAACGTAACTCACTTTTAAATATTATTCGAACTTCTCTTCACATAACTCGCTTTCAAACACAAGCCTGTTAAAAAGCATCCTGGGTCCAAAATATGACTACTACTCCTGCGTTAGCATTCCCATTCTTCAAAAGATAAAACGATGAAAATCCAACATTTTATTCAGTCGGCGTCATTAATCAAGTAATAGTTCTCTTTACAATAGGGAAAAGAAAAAGGGAGAAAAAGACTACACTTAGCAGCACGTTATTCGCCTATTTGAAGCTAAAAACCTATCCCCACATCTGAAAAGATCGGGAATCGAGCATATATACAGATCTTCTAGTATCTCTAGAATGCCTCCGTTTTATCTATCAAAACTTCAAAGCTTGCGGTGACATCTTAACTACTCCTATATAGGAGATATTAAATGCAACCACTAGTTAAATTCAAGCTTTTTCAGCTGCATTATCATTACATTGAGATCCTGTAGGTACAGCATTAGGATTGTTAGATGCTACTGTGTTTTCGTTACATTCAGAATTTTGATTAGAAGGCAGTAGTTGCTCCTTGTTCAATGCAACGGTCTTGAAGGGTTTCTTGAGTTGTACCAAGATCATGGTCATGTTATCACATCCTTCTCCACCTGTGGCTGGCGCCAAACATCTATCTAGCACTCGCTCACAGACAACGGAGAGCTTATTTTCCTGCACCAACGGTGACACATTTATTTTTAAAAACTGAAAAGCATGATCTTAGAACAACAAATAATATAATTAAGGACTCACATGTTTTAACTGTTCCCCAACAAAGTCCACAACTTCTTGGCTTGACATGCAATCCCTAACGCACAAGCAATACAGATATAAGCACCAAAATTATGAAATTCTGGTGTAATGATATAACAAAAAAAAGGTGCAAACAGGGCCTGGCAATGTACTCGCATCTAACATAAACTGACGTTCTAATTACAAGAATATAACCATATCGCAGAGAATTTCTAATAACATTAAAAAGATGCAAGCTCCACCATTTTCTTTTTTGGAAAGTTGCATTTGTATGGAAACAACATGCAGAAAGAACCATTGAACTTCCCAAAAGCCTGCAAAAATCCATACTAATTTTCTTTTCTTGTACATCTTGTCAACCTACTAGCAAACAGTATGCAAGTTCAAGTACACTAAGCCCAGCAATCTAATAAGTCTAGAAGGAATAAACTGATGTTCACCTAAAAGAAATTGGATTTTGGTGCAAATACAGTAACTGGGAAGATAGAACCAAAATGATACGATATACTTACCATATGCCATCACAAGCTAGAACAAGGAAATCATCATCATTGCAGAGCTCAACCTAACTTGAGGGAAAATTTAGGAAAAGAAATGTTAAATGCAAAATCGTCTTCGGCTAGAAAGGAACACAGACAAGAACTCTCCATTTTGATCAGTTAATAATTAAAGAAAAGCAATAATGCTCCACCTTCACCTAGCTGTACACATAAATATACTGTAGAAAATCTTCCTCCAATAACTTTCATTGTTCTACGGATTCGAAAGGAATCATAAGCCATTGTTTACTTACAGAGCGGATATCAGGATTAGCAGTCACTATTTGTTTTTCAGCAGGCAATGATTTGTTCTGTTTGAGTTCCATGTCGCCTGAAATTACTGAAGTGATCAGACTTGCCATAACACAAGGGGAAAAAGGAGCTATACTTTTTTATAGTATCTTTAAGAAAATGCAATATTTTTAATACCAATTGCTCTTGCCATGTTTAAACTTCCATTAACCCGTCCACACCGGACGTATCCACCAGCATTACTAATCCTTTGCTTTTCAGCTTCAAGGTCAGGCTTATGGTCCCTAGACATATCATATGCCTGCATAACATGTTTTGTGCTTAATACAAATATGCCTCCTTAGAAGAAAGACAAGCATCATGTACAGCGATGTTAACTCCAAACAAGCTGCTTTAACAATTTGTCCAGAATGCAAATCATTTTACAATCCTGAACCAGAATATATAACTGATACAAAAGTAAATGCTACCTGACCCTTCCGTGATAAGACACAGCGAGAATCGCCAGCATTTGCCACAAGAAGTTGAGTATTTTGAATGATTGCTACACATGCTGTGCTTCCTGCAGTTGGCCCATGGTAATCAGAGTTAGCCCCCTACATTGGAAAAAAGGCAAAAGGTCAAAAGGATTAAACTCCAGTATACTGATTAAATTAGTTGGAAAATAAATTTTGAGAATATAAGTATTAATAACACCAAGCAGTCTACCGGATTAGTCAAACCACTGCAAGACAAAGAGTTATACAGTACTTTCTGACACCTCTTAATGCTTCTTATGTCATTTTTCTTTGGATAAATATATCTTAGACCTTTAAGGAAAACAAAAATAACTGATATTAAATAGTATACCCGACGATACTCTTTAAGGTTCTTTTGTTTCTTATTCATTCTTCATGTTTTCTATTCTTCTTTTCTTTATTTTTTATTTTATTCTTATGATGGTCTTGTCGGGGCCAACTTGACCGAACCTCAGCTATTCCATCGGTTTTCCGTGCTACCTCCCACCAACATAGGTACCAGGTAACCCCACCTACCAAAGCTTAGGCAGATACGAAGAAATCACCTAATATTTCTTGCCTCCATTGTGATTTAAACCTGAGACCATGGTTTTCCTCCCATTTTATTGCAAATATGTCACTTTATTTGCCCCTGGTTGGGGTTTGGAACAAGGACAATCATTTAAATTATTGGAAATAAATTTCCTTTTAACCTAGAGTAATTCAATCCTAAATATAGGCCGACATGATTCGGTACAATCTTCAACAGAAGTCAGAAATGGCAAGAGTAGAATAACCTTCAATTCTTGCTTCTACAAAGATAAAGATACTTCAACATTTGACGGGTGTTTAACTCGCCATGATACTAGATTAAGCAAAAGATTAAACAACGTTCAACTTTGACATCTTTATCATACAGGTTTTTTTCCTGGTGATAGGTGATTCTCAAAGAGGATAAAAAAGCCAACATTTATCATGTTAAGAATATTCTGTAATTAAAGAAATAGATTAGCTAAGTATCAACTAAAATCAATTAGGAACACAGGGAATATTATATATATCAACTAGAATTAATTAGGGAATCATATTGGAGGTTCAACTCCAGTAATTATATAGCATTTCCTACTTTAGAACATGTGTAAAAAATTTTAAACCCCAATAGTTAGTGGGAACAGTCTCACAATTCTCTTTTTCCCTTCCTCTTTTTTTCATGACACCAGGGCCAAGGAAGTGAGAATATTCTCAAAAATCCTTCTTTCTTCTCTGCTACAAAGAAAAAAACATTGTTCAGGCAAATAGTGGTCAGAATTCGATAGAAGAAAACTCTGTTTCACCATTCCCTCACTCACTGCCAAAGCATCATTCAGCATTTGGTTGCAGTATTTTGTTGTACCATCTAATCTCTGGGAAAAAATTTCAACCCAAGTTTATCATGTGATTTCTTAAGGCCCCTTTGGCCATGACTTCCCACTTGCATATAATTATAGCAGTTTCTGCAACTTGCATGTTGACATTTAGCCACAAAATTTCATTTAAGAATTTGAAATCAAGTGCAATATTATTTTAAGTTGAAATAATGGTTTGAAAGTGTATTTCAAATGGCAACCTTTTTTCTGATAACCGTGGTGTTCCGGTCAGCTAGCGCGCACCTCGACTAATTCCACGAGATAGTTGTCACCTCCCACCAGCGACATGTACCAGGTAACTCTATTCACCAAGGCTTGGATAGATGGGAAGAAATCACCTAGTGTTTTTTGCCTCCGCTGGAATTGAACCTGAGACTTCATTTTTCTCACCCACTTCATTGACCATTACGCCACACCCTTAAATGCTTAAATGAGAATTTTATTACTTCAACTTCCACTCACAACTTAATTTTCACAAACATTTTTCCAAGCGAAGTTCATGTCTTAACACAATATGAACTTCCACAAACTTTTTTCAGCTTCAACTTCAGAAAATCTTTCTTTTCAACTTGCATACCTAGTCCGTAAAAAGGCTATAATAGTTGTGATTACACTATTAACAGATACTTTATTTCAACGATACTTTATACAAGAATGCTCCATAATTTTCATCAAACTCACTTAACCAAACATCATGCGTCCCACTCAACACAAATACAAGAGCCTTACCCTTTTCTTTGGTCTACTCCATGACAATCTCAAGCAAATCCTCCAATTACTGACTCGATTAATGTTCCTTCTCATGATACAGCTCTATTAACTGAACCAACGGCTCAGCAGGTTTACACATCAAGTTGAGCCCTTAACAGACGAGGCTGCTGTTCTCATTGTCCTTCAAGCAGGTACTCGATCCACTTATAATCTTTATCCTATTTAATATTTTTGAGTTATCACTGTTTGTCACATTCATATCATGCATTTGTCATAAATTTATTCACTCTCCCAATACCTAAGACTGTAGTAAAAGCAATGGTTTATCTCAGTTAGCATCACGCTATGATTAAAGAGACGGCTACTTCACATGATAATGATATCAAGAGATTGCTCCTTTGTCACTGGATAAAACAACAGAAGGATGTCCTGGAATGGTTTACAGTCAAGATGAACCAAAATGAACCAAGATACGAAAGCTGATGCTCTTAAAACTCAACTTGTTGGCAAAGGATACACATAAGTGTATGACCTTGATTAGAGTCATACTTTTTATTTCGGTGGTTAAATTTGTATTTGTGTGATTATTTTGCAGAAGGTACTCCACTAGCCCTTTCTTTAGTTGCACAGCAAGAATGCTTTACCGCAAGCATTGGCTGCTTAGGAGGAGTCTGAATTAGTGTAAGCTAAGCTAATCCTTATACAGCCTCAAGCAATCTCCAAACGCATGATTTAATTGTTTTAGCTCTATTGTCCAACAGTTGGCATTGCTTCAAAATGAAGTCGATCTTTCATAATTTACTGACTTTCTTCTCATAGCAGATGCATTTTCTTTGTGGTTTATATTGATGACACTGTCATAACAGGTGATGATCGTGAAAGTATTATTTAACTTAAACAGCATCTCACCAATTACTTCCAGATTATGGACTTGGAGAAATTGAAATACTTTCTGGGCATCGAGGTGGTAGAATCTAATGTTAGCATCAAATATACAATATAATGTTGAAGTAGGTCCTTGTTGTGTATTGGACAGATGGAGTGTCCAAAAGCTCAAGATGCATCAGTCTATCAGAGAATTGTTGGTGAATTGAGCTCTCTACAATTACAAGACGAGACTTCTTATTAGTTGTTAGTGTGGTTAACCAGTTTCACCAGGTGCTTATGAAAGTCATTTAACTGCTCCGCATTAGGTATATCAATCGATCTATTCCTTTAAAGGTAAGATATATCAATGGATCTATTATACAAGGACTATCATATGAGAACAGGGGACAAACACAGATTTTTTCAATATTCTGATACATACTGTGCAGGATCTCCTTTCAGTAGAGGATCTATCCCAGCATACTGCATCTTAATGGGAGACAATTTACTATCTTGAAAGAGTAACAAGCACGATGTGATGTGGGATCGAAATCGAGGAGGCAGAATGTCGAGCCATGGCCTTGACCATGTGTGGGATTTGAAATTTGAAGGTAAAGAACCATGAAACTAGCTAATGACTATTAAGCCACAGTACATGTTCATTTGAATCTCATGCTTCACAAGAGAGAGAGAGAGAGAGAGAGAGAGAGAGAGAGAGAGAGAAGAGTATCAGGCAAAAGACGTATTACTATGAGCTTTCGTTAATTCAGATGACTAGTTGGCAAATATCTTAATATAATCACTTCAAGTCTTCAGGATCAAACAAATTTGAAACAAGCTAGCAGAATACAATATGTAGCAGAGTACATATTATGTTCTTAAAGACACAAACTAGGAAATATAATGAACAATTATGGAATCACTTAGGAGATTCAATTCCTTTAATTATGTGTCATTTCCTATTTAGAACATGTGTACAAACTACTTAAACCCCCCAATTTTAAAGGAAATCAAGCGGAACATTTCAACAATTCTTTGTTGCTTCCAGTACAATAAGATTCATAAAAGAACACGATGACTAATTTAGACATGGTATGACATGACAACCTGGAGTAAGAATGCAGGAAATTACAAATTCAAATACTCAAAAGATGAAACTTTTTTTTTTCCAAAATGTTAAAGTCAGACTCTTCAAATTGTTTCCGATGAGTAGGACCCTAAAATTCATTAATAGCACAAAGAATGTGTTTGCAGCCACAAACAAATGTAGTGCACCTTGCAGCTATAGATCGACACAACAAATAAAGGCTGGGACTGATACCTTATCTGAAGACGCACAATCCATTTGCCCCTTGAATTCACCACTCTTGCGAGGCGATATCAAACCCTCTATTATCTCCTTAGCTTGGTCCTTTTCCGCCAAAGAGGCTAATTCTCTCTGACCTGTTTGTCCACGCATCATCTCGTCCATTCTGCATGGAGAACATGCATAAGGTCAGACTCATAAACATAGAGACAAGAAGCTCATAACAATGTAAAAGAAGCTACTAATAACGTGGAAACCCCTTTTTCAGAAAAAGCCATTAATATTTTACCACATTAACACACTCATACTAACAAATTATAGTAGAAAAACTCAAGAGGGGCAGCTAGTTAACATGTAATATCTGGAGGACCCGAAGGGACACTAATGCTAAAAACCTATTAGCAATAAAAGTGCCCAATTTTGGTCAAGAAGCCAATTTAATCTCAGAATCAATTGAAAGAAATCTCATAGCAGTACAAAAATATAAGCCCATTCCAACATGCATCATACTTTGTTAAATCAGCAAGCTTAGGGATACTTGAATATGTAATTGCCTGTCCTGGCTCAGCACCCCAGGCTGATGAGAACATGAAAATGACACGAGAATGACACCTTCCTGCTGCCTTGCATACACTAGGTCAAGGATTACATTGCGGCACAAGATGAAAAGTTAAATTAAATGTGAAAGACTAGGCATGAGGCGACCTGAGAAAAGCATGCTGCATAGAAGTGCCTACATCCCCAACTGAGAATGCTTCATGATTAAGAACCTCTCGGTGAAGAAACTTGGCACAAAATTTAGAAACTTCATCGCCTACAAAATTGAAGAGCCTTATTAAGTGTTAATATGGCGTCTAAGCAAAATGTTACTACAGAGAGCTACTTAATAAAGTAAACAACGGACTGGAACTGTATCCATTCCCTTCGCATGGTTGCAATTAGAGGAGGTGAAAAACAGCTTGAAATCCAGCAGTATTGTTTGAAGGAAGAAAGCATTGATTGCATAGAGTGAAGAGACGAAGGATTTCCTGATCTCTTAGACTCTAAATTAAATAGCTGTTTACATCAATAACAAATGAGCTATTCCTCAACTAGATGCCTGAAGGCTCTGATCAGGGAGAGAAACAGGAAATATTGAGGATAACCTGGAAAGGACCCTCTTCAAGAAAATGATAATTTGCAGAGGACTGTAGAAGACATGGCCTATAAAGGGCTAATTAGAAAGACTCGCTGCAAAAAAATTCTCTAGCTGCAGAAAGACAGAGCGAAAGTGACTTCAAACTACTCCTATTTGCAGTTGACACAGCTTTCCTGTGATGGATACAGAGCATTGGGACATACTGAAACAACCAAAAAGAAAATGGAAAGAGCAAGGAGACATGTCAAATTGAGTCCCATTCCTCTTAAGACTTCTTTCAGAGTTAGATTACCAACAATATTGCAATTGGAGAGGATCTTAGCACATTTCACTTAAGAAGACATACGTTTCACAATCATCGAAGTTGACACTCAATCGGTATACAAACAATATGTCATTTAGATTTCAAAGTCAAATTCCCAAAGTGATCAAGAAGAAAACAACAAAACTACATTTAGTAAGTTGTATGGAAATACTTCAGAAGTACTCTATAGCTATCTGAAACAAGGGAGGTGGTGCATATTTAGCAGAGTGGAATTTTAAAAATAAAAAAAAGTAAGGGAGACAATAAGAGGAAACTAAGAGTTTTCAGCCAGGTATATTAGAAAAATGGCTTTTAAGGTCTGGGCATCGAAAGAAGTGCTATGTCGAGAATATTCCAAAGCCAGATAAGAAATGAGGGAAAATGGGTCATGGAAGATGATTTTCGTACTACTTAGGACCAGGAACATGAACTACCAAGTTCAATAGAAAACATGATGATCAGTTCTTCTCTGAAAGGGAGAAACGGATACCCACTCACTTTTGTGAGAAATTTCTCCATCAAGAGGAGAGCATTTGCTGATTTTGACACAAACTCTAGCGGATTATATTTGGGTGAATAAAGTTATCAGAAGTTAGTAATAAGAACAGGGCCACTGCAGGAAATGGCGGTGAAGGCAGACAAAACAACCGAAAACAGCCCGAGGACAAGTTGCTATGGAAGCAGGAGTAAGAAGTTAATTGCACCTAAGAAAGTCAGCTTTGCAGGAAACAACACTTTAATCAAGGACAAGTTGATGATAAGAAGAGAATTCATGTAAAATGCTGCTTCACTTGGAATAGCATGAAGATACAAGACAGAGCATTATCATCCATATCCAAATTTGTTTTTTATAACTTCGTTGCAGCTGGGTACCGTTCAGAGGAAGAAAGAATGAACAAGCTAAAAGATTGTTGTCTGCAAGACGTTCATGATGTATAAAGCTTAATGGGAAAGCAGATCAAAGAAAGTAATCAGAATTAAGCAACTGAAAATGGAACATTATATAACTACACGGCAACTGATGAACAGTTCAAAAATCGGCAATAACCCCCTCATGGATATCAAAGAACCATGGAAAGACGACATCCAACTTCTGAGGAGAAAGTGAAGGACCAGCAGATACTTAAGTTTGAATTTTCTTATTCTGTTCCTTTCTTTGAAATACCCTTATATACAAGGTCATATTGTTTTCCCAGTTTTTGGAAAGAATCTAGTTGGATGACATTGAAAACCTGAGACTTCTGTAATGAATTGTGCCCTATACTAATCAACCTAATGTTTACAAGACAACAAGGAAACATATTTAATAAAACATTAAAGTGACTTCCTGCTTCAATGCAGGGAAAACTAGAAAAGAACATAGATGTAAAGCAACAATAAATGACACATGTAGTCAAAAGATACAATTTCCTCAACTGCGGCATATCTGTAATTAAAACATGACCATATCTCAAAGTTTCAGCAAAGTAAAGAGAACTGAACATTATCTTCAAGAATACAAGACTTTGGTGAAGAAATAACATATTAGTCAAAAGCTCATATGTTGTCCAATAGAGAAAGGATGAGAGTTAAAACATAGGTAGTATTATGAAGTGCCACTAATATGCATGCAGAAAATAAGACCAGCATTGCTAGCAAAAGACAGTTAAGTCCTATAGCAGAGGAGTAGGTCCCTTACCTCCATGGCCATCATATACACCAAAGAAGGAAGTGGAAGTGTCCAAATGTGGATAAACTGCATGCTATATAACATCTCATTTTAGCAATCTTGTTCACTACAATACCTAAGCAAGATATTAGGAAACTGACTAATACTTAAAGCCAAAGCTACTTGAAACTCGCTATCATATCAGGTACACGACAATGGTAAAACATGACGGCTGAAAAATGATGACAATTTAATTTTTTCAAAGGCATAGAAGGTCCATTTTGCAACAAACAGTGATGGAAATTTAAGGATTACAAAAGACTGTGAAAATGCACACATGAATGCACTTACAGCATCTTCCATGGTTGAACGCCATCCCTGCATTGATGACAAGCCATATCTTAGTCTGTCATTCTCACCATCCTCGGACACTTTTTCAGTTTTCGGACTGCTTAAATATATTCCCATATTGACCTGCATATGGAAGCATACAGTAAACATATTTACATGCAGAATTAATACAAAATATTTTACCGCTTATCAAATAACTTAGTCCATACATAATACAGTAAATACACAGACTTGATAAGCACATACACTGGAAAAAAGGGTTAAGTTCGATCCTTAAACACATAACATGTTCAACTCCTTCGGGCACTGTAGAGAACGCTGTTCGAGAGTTTTCTAGTAAGAATTTAATAGATACACCAAACATGGTGGTAAACAGAAATATACTGTACCTGCCCCATTTTATATGAAGAAGTTTGATTGGGCTCGGAGTTTAAAATGTTAATAGACTTGTATAAATATATAGATGATACTGGAAGAAACTATTGAAGTATTGGTTGAAAACAACTATGATTGAGAAAGAGCTTAAAATTTGAATAGTTCAAGGAATTTGAAGTCTTTAAAATGGTGAATGCTGCATAGAAATGGCATTGCTTCAAGCATTTTGGGATGTCTCCCAAAAGGAAAGAGTTTCATATAAAACAGAACCGAGGGAGTGTTTAGTGAGGTACTGAATGTAATACCTTTGAGGGGATACTTTTTGATTCATATCTTGAATCCCATTTATTTTTTAATTCATATCTTGATTCCCATGTTCCTAATATTTAACATCTAAGAAAGGTAGCAACTGCTTCAAAGTTAAAAACTACCAAACCTCCAAATTAAACCTCCAAAAAAAAATAACAGTAAAGTGGGGTGGTTGAGACCGCTGTCGTTAAGAAAATTATGTATTATTTGCTGGTGGGAGATACGAGATACTCGGTGGAATAGTTGAGGTGGGCACAAGCTGGCCCGGACATCACCGTCATTAAAAAAATAGAATATTACTCATTACCCTTTTCTGTTTCTCAGAATATTATTTATCACTACAGTATCACAATCCCTTTTCTGTTGCTGAGAATATTATGCATCAATACCCTTTTATCCAGCGTACAATATGCTACAAGAAGTTCTCGGTTCAAATCCTAGCGGATGCAAAAATACACTAGGTGATTTGCCTTTACCTTGGTGGGTATCTGTGCTGGTTAGAGGTAACAGCTACCCGATAGAATAGTCAAGATGTGCGCAAGTTAGCCCGGCCACCACTGCTAAGGGTGGCAAACGGGCAGGTCGGGTCGGATATGGAATATGTCGAAAAGGGGTAATGCAAGAACGGATAAATTATCCAATCCGACCCATATTTAATACGGATAAAAGTGGGTTAACCGACGGATAATATGAATATCCATACTATCCATGGCTTCTTGAATATGATCATTTTGGGAGAATATCTAGTATTCCAACTGGAGCCCCAAATTTGAGGCTTTACAAATGTAAAAGTTAAACCCATTAGTTATCCATTTTCTAAGTTGATAAGATGGTTCTTATCCATATTTGACCCGTTTTTAAAAAGTTCGTTATCCAACCAATTTTTTAATGGATAATATGGGTGGATAAGTGTTTTCTTTTTTAAATTTAACCACCACTAAAGTCTACCGCTGTTAAAAAAACACTAAGCTACAAGAAGTGAGTGATACTATGAGCCAGAATAACATAGCACAACAATGAACAGATAATTCTAAAAAAAATTGAAATATGATACGTAAACAAATTTCACTATGTTGTAAATAATGATTATCCAAATTACTATAGAGTTCCACAAGTATGCATACCAGTATAAGCACTATAAAGATCCGTCGAATAAATTGAAAAATAGAAAAAGAATGAATCAAAAGGGAAATGATTAAAGAATAATCAGCAACAGTGCGTTAGGGTTACAAAGAAACTCACAGCGCCCAATGCCGAAGTCGGTGTTCGCAACGAAATGATTAGAGATAGTCAGCTAAGCAGCTGTTAATCGGTGGTTCATGACATTACTTTTTCATGCTCTTTCTTCTTTTTCTTTTCTTTTTTCTTTTTCACTAATTCTTCTACCAGATTATCCGAATAGAAAGGAAAATATATTATAATTTTACATCAGCATAGTTATAAAAACTTTAAACTATATACATATATATAATTATGTACGTATATTCTATCAGCAAAGCACACTGTTTTTGAAATCTATCGCCATGGCACACTGTATTAGTGGTTAGTATATATGCTTTTTTTTCTAATAATAAGTAGAAGAAAATATTTTATGTCCTCTTTAAATATTGTATGGCAGATTCAAAATTTAAATGTGATTTAGTAGTTCACGGCTGAATTTAATACACTTCTAATATTAGCTATTGCGAATAAAATGAGTAATCAACTATTAAATTGATAAACTAATTTAACTTTATAATTGATTATCTTATGATTAAGAAGTTCCACAAATCGATAAGTTATACTTGTTGGTATTATTTATAATGCAAATTCAACGATTTCTTTTTGAAAATTTATTTCATCCAATAGCCATGGGTATTTATTTTACAATTGCCATATCTATTTTCAAGTGGCTGCTTACATAAAGTGTTGTGGCCAAATACTCTTAGATAATTGGTACATGGCAAGAGGTTTTATATGTGGTATTGATTTAAAAAATTGTTTGACAAATGGCCTTGCTAAGCCAAGTGTCATTTTGCATGACATGTGTTGTCATCTTGCACGAAAGAAAATTGACAAGTAAGTCATGTATTGCCAAATGCATGAAAGAAAATTGACTAGTAAGCAAGACACTTGTCATGAAACTAAACTCATTTTCATGCTATAAATAGGATGATCATTAGCCATCATATTCACTCAATTCTTGACCAAGAATTCTTCTAGCTAATCATTACTTTCTTCCTAGTCTTCTTTGTGAATTATCTGACACATAAAATACCTCCATCTTCTCTTCTTTTCGGGCAGCTGTTTTGTGCAAATTCTAAACTTCCAGCCACGAGTGCAGGTGTTTGGAGGTGTTGTAGAACCTTGGGGAGCGACCGGTCTTAACGATTTGCACCCAGTCGGGCCGAAATTGCTTTCAAGGCAGTGGCTTGCCACGACATAGTATTTTAATAAGTTGTTCTTCTTTCCTTCTTGTTCTTAGTCAATATTAACTACTCCCTTTTCTTACATTTTGAAAGCGATTTTACATATATTATTGACTAATGGCTACCACTTTGAACAAAACACTTCTTGATCTCTCAAAGCTTGAGCCTTTAGATAGAAATAATTATAAGCGTTGGTCCTAGAAACTTTTAATTTTTTTGAACAATTAGAAGTTGATTATGTTTTGTTTAACGATCCTCCTGCTGATATTGTTGCTAACAGTTCTAATGCTGCTAATATTGTTGTTGCTGATGATGATGCTAAGAAGAAATTTGAAAAGGATAATAAAACAGTGAGAGGGCATCTGCCTAACCATATGACTAACCCTCTCTTTGATTTGTTTATAAATTATAAATTTGCTAAAGTCATATGGGACAGTTTGGAGAAGAAATATGGTGTTGATGATGCAGGAAAAAAGAAGTATGTCGTTGGAAAGTGGATCAAGTTTCAGATGGTTGATGATAAGACAATCATGGAACAGGTTCACGAGTATGAGAACTTGACTGCTGATGTTTTAAACGAGGGCATGGAGATGTGTGAGATTCTTCAGGCCAATATTCTGCTTGAAAAGTTTCCACCTTCCTGGAGTGATTACAGGAATCAACTGAAACACAAGAAGAAAAATTTAACTCTTCAAGAACTGATCAGTCACATGAGTACTGAGGAAGCAAACCATCTCAAAGATGAGGAGTCTGAACGGCTTAAGGATAAGATGAAATCTCTCTTTCTTAATTCTTCTAAAGCTAACCTTGTGGAATCTTCTCGTACTTTTGTGAAAGATAGGTTTAAAGGAAAACAAAAGAAAAGCCAGAAGAAAGGACATGTGAAGAAGCAGAATTACTTTAATAAGCCGGAGGGCCATATTCAAAAGTCGAAAGGACCTTGCTATGTCTGCGGCAAAATTGATCACAAGGCTTTCCAGTGCAACCAGAGACAAGGACAAAGCTCAAAGAATGGAGGAAAAGCTCCAGTCCAAGCTAACCTTACTGAGGGTGGTGATATCATTGCTGCTATGGTTGTTGAGGCGAACATGGTGGCTAACAAAACCGACTGGATAGTGGACACGGGCGCTTCAACACACCTTTGCGCCAACAAGGAGCTGTTTCACGACTTTGAGGAATCTGCTGATAGCGAGTGTATCTACATGGGTAACTCCACTACATCTGGAGTTATAGGTAAAGGAAAAATTCGCCTTAAGTTAACTTCTGAAAAAATCTTAGCCTTGAACAATGTTCTGTATGTACCCTCCCTTCGTAGAAACTTAGTCTCTGGTGCGCTTCTCAACAAAGTAGGTCTTAAACTTGTTTTTGAATCTGATAAAGTTATTATTTCTTGTGGGGGAGACTTTGTTGGGAAGGGTTACCTTAATGGGGGTTTATTTGTATTGAACATCGCTCAAGAGATTACTAATAATGTTAGTACTTTCAATTCTGCTTATATTGCTGAGTCTATTGATTTGTGGCATGGTAGACTAGGGCATGTTACTATTGCTTCTATTAAAAGACTTAGAAAAATGGAATTAATTCCTGCAGTTAATGTTGATAATTCTTCTAAGTGTCATGTTTGTATAGAAGAAAAACATACCAAAAAGCCTTTTAAGAATGTAACTAGTAGAAAAACAGAATTGCTTGAACTAGTACATTCAGACTTGGCAGATTTTAAGAATATTGTTAGTAAGGGTGGAAAGAAATACTACATTACCTTTATAGATGATTTTTCTAGATACACTAAGGTATATCTTCTTAAGTCAAAAGATGAGGCCGAAAGCATATTTTTAAAATACAAGGCAGAAGTAGAGAATCAATTAGATAGAAAAATCAAGAGGCTTAGGTCTGACAGGGGTGGTGACTATAGTACTAATACTCTAGAAGTCTTTTGTAAAAAAATGGTATCATACATGAGGTTAGTGCTCCCTATACTCCCCAACAAAATGGTGTAGCCGAACGAAAAAATAGAACCCTTAAGGAAATGATGAATTCTATGCTTTTGAGTTCAGGTTTATCTGATAATATGGGGGGAGCTATTTTATCAACATGTTATGTTCTTAATAAAGTTCCTCATAAAAAGTTAGATAAAACCCTGTATGAGTTATGGAAAGGGTTTTCCCCTAACTTGAAAATTCTGAAAGTGTGGGGGTGTTTGGCTAAGGTTGGTTTACCTGATTTTAAACAAGTAACTATTGGACCCAAGACTTGTAATGCTATTTTCATTGGTTATGCTCAAAATAGTGCTGCATATAGATTTATGTCTTTGAATGATAGTTCTATTTATGAATCTAGAGATGCAGAATTTTTTGAGCATGTTTTTCCATTGAAAAATAATGTGCCTAGTGATGTGCCTAATAATGCTTCTACATCTATGTCTGTTAATTCTCATATTGTACCTTCTTCTAGTGTTACTGCTAATGAGCATGAAAATAAACTTAGAAGAAGTAAGAGGCGTAGAACTGAAGCTAACTTTGGTCCTGACTTTATTATTACTTTCTTGACTGAAAATATTGATCTTGATATTTTGAATAATGAATTAGTGTCAATCTATTTAATAGAAGAAGACCCTAAGACATACAGTGAAGCAATGAGGTCAATAGATGCTAGTTTTTGGAAAGAGGCCATTAAAAGTGAATTGACTCTATAATTTCTAATAACACTTGGGACTTAACTGATTTGCCTAAAGGTTGTAAACCCATAAGTAGCAAGTGGATATTTAAGAAGAAATTGAGCCTGATGGTACAATTGAGAAATATAAGGCTAGACCTGTGATTAGGGGTTTTAACCAAAAGAAAGACAGTGATTACTTTGACACTTATTCTCCTATGACCAATATAGCGACTATTAGAACTCTTGTTGCTTTGGCCGCTATTCATAATTTAGTGATACATCAAATGGATGTTAAAACGGCTTTCCTAAATGGTAATTTAAATGAAGAGATCTATATGTCTCAACCTGAGGGATTTGTGATCCAAGGACAGGAGAATAAAGTATGCAAATTGAGAAAGTCTTTGTATGGTCTAAAGCAAGCACCTAAGCAATGGTACGAAAAGTTTAATAGCACATTAGTGGTTAATGATTTTGTTGTTAATGCATCTGATACTTTTGTTTATTCCAAGATGATAGGATCAGATTGTGTTATTATATGTTTGTGTGCGGATGACATGTTAATCTTTGGCCCTAATATGAATGTCGTTAATGAGACTAAGAATTTTTTGTCTTCTAAATTTGAAATGAAAGATCTTGGAGAAACAGATGTGATTTTAGGGGTTAAAATCAAAAGAACTTCAAATGGTTGTTCGTTGTCTCAGTCTCATTATATTGAGAAAATGTTGAAAAGGTTTAATTGTTTTGATGTAGCACCTGTGAGAACTCCTTATGAGCCTAGCATACACTTGAAAAGGAATAAAGAATATAGTATTTCTCAAACTGAGTATGCTAAGATAATTAGTAGTGTAATTAATGATAGGTTATAATTGCGTATTTTATCAAACTAGTATTTCTCATAGGTTATAATGATAGGTAGTGTAATTAATGATAGGTTATAATTGCGATAGGTTATAAGGAATCTAGTATTTCTCAAACTGAGTATGCTAAGATAATTGGTAGTGTAATTAATGATAGGTTATAATTGCGTATTTTAGCCGTTTATTACACTATAATTTTCTATACTTTAATTGAGTTTGAGCTTTAATCGCTAGTGTCTTGCACTAATTGTGTGTTTTATGCATTGTAGGAGTAATTCCGAGCTATGTAGATGTTATGGAATGAATTCAAGTGATTTGGAGCTTTGAAGTCTGAGTAAAAGCCCAAGGAATTAAGTCAGAATCGTATTCGGGGATCAACGGATGATAGAGCAACAAAACGAAGAATCGAGTAGGCATATTGTGCACTGTCTAGTAAAATGCACATAACATTTTGCTCAGAACTCCATTTGGGCTCCACAATATATGGTTGGAAAGCTAACTCAAAGGGCTACAACTTTTATCT